TTATTTGTTCCACTGAAGATCCCATGGCATCTGTCTTCATCTGGTTCTGTTCAAGCCAAGAAGCCATGAGATTCTACAAATGCCAGAGCTGGCATGATGGATTGAAATAGATACCTTGCTAGTCTGTCTCTAAGCGATTTTCATTAAGTCCTATAGGACAAAGTTAAAAGGATGCCTCTGAGATGGTTGATTCCCAACCCATTTCTTAGAATCAGTACAAGTAGGTAGGAGTAGAGATCAAAGTTCCACACAAAGCATGGGCAAACTTCGGCTCTCCAGGTGTTTTTGTCTTCAATTCCCACAATTCTGAACAGACCAGTAGGCTGTTAGGAATTGTGGGAGTTGAAGTCCAAAACACCGGGAGGGCTGAAGTTTGCCCATGGCTGTTCTATATTCATCCTAGAAACAACCACCAGGGAAAACGAATCCCAGAATTCAAAGGAGACAGCAGGACTTGAGAAAAGAAAATCTGGTTCGAGCTGTTGTTTTCAACAGTGAATAATGATGAAAAGTTGGGATAGCAGTATTAAAAGAATAAGAGTGTTAAATGTGGATGGAAAATTAGGATGATGAATTGACATGAAGTCAATATGAGTTTTCTTCTCTGAATATAGACTCTTCTCACTGATTCCTGAGATTCAGTGTAACATAACACAATAATATGTAAATTTTTGACACTGTGTTCCATGTCAGTCAATAGTTTTACAGCCTGATAAAATAAATGATAAAATATGAACATGCACAAGGCATAAACACACACACTAGATCTCACATTCATTCACTCATACCGTTATGAAATTCAAGACCTTTTCAACAAAGTTCAGTTCATTAAAGACTTTAAAATATTATCAATTCATACAATGAATGATTTTCCTGATTCATATTTCTATACTGTTGTTGCTTGGCTTCTAGTACAGAAAGAAATATTTATTTTATTGGAATGTGCAGAAATCAGAGTGCAAAATTCACTGCAATTCTGCAAATAATCCCAGCTTCGGTAGGTGGTGCTCTTGCCTCTTCGTTTAGTAGCAGCCTGCCACATTCCACTCTTAACTCCAAGATCAACAGCATAATCAGAAGTACTAGTTGTTTGGCTTCAGCCGGGTCCAACTAGGCCAGAAATCTCACTGTTCTGAGCTCTGGCATTGTCTGGCAATTAAATCATAAGGACAGAGAAGGTAAACCCTTTCAAATCAAAGAGATTTGACAAAAAATGGGGGGGGGGAGGGGTAGCATGTTGGGCAAATACCCACTGTTCTGATATCATGTAACATGAACACCTCTGTGACTGTGGATGCTGTTTTTTTTTTTAAAAAAAAATGAGTGCTGTTGTTTGTATAACCAAAATGGCATTGTCCATGCACAACAGTGTGGTTCCTCATCCTCCAAGGAAAAATCTGTAAGGAACTTCCAAAACAGCGCAACAAGAACTGAAAATGCTTTGTGGGTACAGAATGCTAGCCAAATGTAGAAGGGGGAATGGAAAATTGAGAATGGCAGAAATAAGAAGAGAATGTAGTAGTTGAGAATATGAACTGTGGCATTCCACATTGCACTTTTTTTTTAGTGTAGGTTGCAATGCTGAATATATTAATATCCCCCCCCCACACACACACACACATACACACACACATCTCTTCCTTAACACAGTTTGGATATTTAATTGTGGAAATGAGTTTGTGTGGGATCATTTTATCCTTGTCTTTTCAAATGCTATTTTGTTTTCTTAACCTCAGTGATTTTAAAAAAATCATTTCCTGCTACTAGTCATTCATTTTTTGTGAAACTCAAAAATTCAGCCCATCCAAATAAGGCAAAAATGTTTTAAGAAAGTTTGGAAGCTGTATATTATACTTGCAAAGTCTACAGGTGCTGGTGTGTAAGCAAGCAAAGCTAAGCACAGCTGCTATCATCACTTTGAATTATAATTATGTTTCAGTTGATAATCCCTTAAGAAATAAATACAGACAAGAACCTCTTTAAATGTATTTATCACATCTGATGTGTTCAGATATATGTTCTCACACAGTCCAAAGCAATCCTTTTTTGAATGCATATTACATCATCAACATTTCTTTGTGGGACTAACTCCCCAAGCTCATAGTCCATACTTGTGGGATTATGGGAGTTGCAGTACAAGAATGTAGGGAGCCTCCGGTGGCACAGTGGCTTAAACCACTGAGCTGCTGAACTTGCTGACCAAAAGGTTGGCAGTTCGAATTTGGGGAATGGGGTGAGGTCTCGCTGTTAGCCCCAGCTTCTGTCAACCTAGCAGTTTGAAAACATACAAATGTGAGTAGATTAATAGGTATCACTCTGGCGGGAAGGTAACGGCACTCCATGCATTCATGCTGACCACATGACCTTGGGGGTATCTACAGACAATGCCGGCTCTTCGGATAAGAAATGAAGACAAGCACCAACCCCCAGAGTTGGACACAACTAGACTTAATGTCAAGGGAAAACCTTTACCTTTACCCTTTTGAGCACAAAAATGTAAGTTTTCTGAGGTTTGTAGCAAATATCTGGATATGTGAGTGTATTAAATTGATTAATCTCCAGGTGGAAGATTCAGATATTATTCAGAATAATACTTGGGAACAGCACTAGAGATCTTTATTCCATGAACATTACAAAATAACCAGTTTTCCTTACAAATAAGAAGTTTAAAAAGCTGGAAATGTGGAATAACAAAATTGGTGAGTGACTGATGTATCTGAAACAGAAGCAAGGGAGCTATCATGCAAGGGATAGCAGCAGTAATGTCAGAAGTAATTACTTCAGGAATGAAAAAACACGAATGTAGCTTCTAGCTAAATTGAATAACCCACCCGCACGTGTTTGAAGAAGACACATGTGGGTGTCTTTAGTCATAAATGATACCCAATATTCCTCATACCAAGGAATGTCCCCTTCCTCTCTTCCAATAGTAGGGTCCTGCAGTCACCCTTCCTCCATCTGCCCCCAAATATATGGGGTGGGGAGAGGAGATACAGGGAACTGGAGGGAGCATTTATGATAGAGCCATTATTTGACGCCCAGTTATTGTTGGATACAACCCAGATAACCCTGCACTTTCAGAAGTAGATAAATATGGAGCAAAATAGACCACTTGTACCGCATACAGTTATGATATCATGTTAAATCATAGGATGACAAATATGCCACTAGCAGACAAGGAACTGTATGCAGATAATGAAAGAAGTATATATAGATGCACATTTCTTTGAACTCTTCTTTCATACCTACTTGGGTGGTTGAAACAATTTGCCTGAAGCAACAGTTGCTTAGTAGTTGCCAAACAGTTGCTACAATTGGCAGTGTTTGTTATTTATGGTTTTACACTACCTAAAGAACACCAAGAGCTTTTCTATTAATTGTCTTTCTTGTACTAAAAAGGAAAATCATGTTGTGGCATATGGGTGTGAAATGTTACATCTTGAACACAAATTAATGGAAAGTAACCAAGGTAGCAGACTCAAAAGCTGAAAGGATGGGTTCAGCATCTACACTGGGAATTAAGAATGGACCATTGAGAAACTCAGAAAAAGACATTTCTAAAATGCTAAAAGTGGAATAAGTAAATGTATAACTATGGTTGATGAATAAAGTTTAGAAATGACACAATGAGGAGAAAGGGAGCTAACCATTGGAATTAGTGGCAATGGGTAAACTTTGCACGCAGCAGGTTCCATTTGCAGTAACTGGGGTTTCTAAGTTTTAGGGTTGTTGTGTTTTATTAAGTAGAGGATGATGCACTAAGGGTCTGGTCAAGGTCACAGAGAGACAATTACATGGTAAACGGTCCAAATAAGTCTGTTCATAGAATATATTTGGTAACAGCAATAGCAAACTGCGTCATTTTCAAAATTTGGTTCAGAACTATCATTACCCAAATGTTTGGTGACTGATGAAGATATTTTATTACTTCTGTAATCAGTACTGTAGAATTTAAATTTTCCTTGTCCAACGCATCTTTTGACATCATTAAAAACCCTATTCCAGCGATCAGTGTAAAACCTCATAATGAACCTCTGTAAATAACTATTTCTACCTCATTCTGAGAAGTTTATTATCCTCTCTCTGACCACCAGATGAGTAAAATCTTCCACTACCTAGGCTAGCAAGCTTTGAAATGTAATAAGGGTGCTAAATTACGCCTATAGATGGCGCTGTGGCTACAGTGACCAACTTTTGGGTGTTTTTGTTTTTTGGTCTGTGGCTTCAGGAATGTTGCGTCCTGCCCACAGCAATCCTTTGGATTCAACCTGAACTGTGGCCCAGGAAATCCTTCAATATAAATAACCTTGGATGCTACCCCAATCGGGGTTTTTTTTTTTTCTTCCTCTGGGAACACGTTCCTTCCATAAATCTCTGAGTTTTGTTTTGCAATGAAAGTGAAGCAATTGTTTCCCTGATTAATTGCAGCAAAAAATAGACCCAGATGATCAATCCAAGCTCTGACAAGTTTCAGCTTCACTTGAAACATGTGGAGAAAGAAGAGACCTTGGAACAGCCCTGAGCCTTTACTTGAAAGCACTTACAATGTTTACTCAAGCTGAATATATTTGGGGTGCTTTTGGCTCCAATTTGGTGGAAAAGGACAAATTGCCAGCAACTGACGACTTTGTTATCTATCTGACTGTGAAGAGCAGTGCTGGGTCCCTGGGTGTTTTGGCCTTCAACTCCCAGAAATCTCAGCCAGTTTACCAGCTGTTAGGATTTCTGGGAGTTGAAGGCCAAAATATTTGGGGACCCACAGGTTGAGAACCACTGTAACTGCTCATAGGACCCAGACTGCATTTCCCAATATCCTTACACCTTCAGTAGGCTGGGGATGAGGGGACTTGCAGCCCAACATGAAGGTTGAATGACAAAACATCTGGGCACTGAAACACTGGTGAAGAGGGAAACAAGACTGAAGAGTGACCCCCCCCCCCCACCACACACCCTCATGCCTCCTTTGCCTGCCTTACTTAAAAACATCCATCCAAAACATGTTCATGTGATAATGTTTTATTATTTTTTCACATACTGCCCTTGACGGGAAGAGGGGGTACATCTTTTACCAATCCGGAATGTGACAAACTAGTGAGAGAAAGAAGCACAGAGAAAGGCAATGACACCAAAACACAGAAAAAAAATGAAAACTTGAGGCAGCCCACCAAAGAGGGACAGCAGCAAAAGCTGACGGTTCCCCTCCAAAACAAGTCTCCTGCCCATCAATGGCAGGAGCCACATGTTTGCTTCAGGGAAAGGCACTCTTCACATGTACATTGAAACAGAAGAATGAACTGGAATACACAGAGTTTGGTGGCACTTTGAAGTGTGTCGGTTTGTAAACGACCTCCTTCAAAACCAGTTGGGGTTGCTTCAGAATGTGTCTGGGATGAAGCTGTCAAGAAAGCTGTCAAATTCTTCTTGACAAACCCAGACACTTTAAAGCAGACCCGGACCAACTTAGGCCATTCAGGTGTTTTGGACTCCAGCTCCCAGCACTCCTCACAGCCTCAGGCCCCTTCCTTTTCCCCCTCAGCCGCTTAAGGATGTTAGAATGTTGAGGCTGGCCAATCAGAAACCATATGCAAATTAGTAGGTCAAGACAGCTCATGCATGGGCAATCTTGGGCCTTCCAGGTGTTTTGGACTGCAACTCCCAGCATTCCTCACTGCCTCAGGCCCCTTTCTTTCGCCCCTCAGGCGTTAAGCACCTGAGGGGGAAAAGATAAGGGCCTGAGGCTGTGAGGGATGGTGGGAGGTGCAGTCCAAAACCCCTGGAAGGCCTAAGTTGGCCCAGGCCTGCTTTGAACATTATGAACTGGTGCTGCCACTGATCTGAGTACTTACAAAACACAGTAACAAGGGAATATAAAGGCTGGCATTTCCCAATAGTTTACAAAAAAAGTAGTAACAAAGAATATAAAATAAATCAAGACCCCAATAATGCCCATATGCATAAAATACATAATATATATATAAAAATAACTCTGTAGTTTAAAAGGAGAGGAAGAAGAGGAGCGGGAAAAATCTCTTTTGTGTTTTTTAAATAGACGGGGGGGGGGGGGGCGAGAGTTTCTTCCACCCAGCAACATCCACCACCACAACACTCACTCCGGCGCTGAGTCCAATTGCACTTGCAAGCCCTGGCCAAGTCTGTTCAAGTATGAGGGAGGGAAGGAGGGCGGGCCCGGGGCCACAAGAGGGCGGGAGAGGCCAAGGTCCCTTCGCACGGCGGAGGGCCAAGCTTCCTTCCTTCCTGCCTGCCTGCCTGCCTGCCCGCCCGCGCGCCTTGTCCTCCGGGTAGTCCTCGCGCTGGCCGCCGTTGCTTGGCGACGCCGGAGAGGAAGGGAGGGGGCTGCGGCCTGCCTGCCTCCCTCCTCCTCGTCCTCCTCGCGACTAGTGCAAAGAGCCCGCGCGCTGGTGAGCGCCGAGGGATCGGGTGAAGCGGGCAGCGAAGGTGTCTCCCAGGTCCCGGCGCCGCCGCCTCCGCCCGTAGTCGTGGATTTTGTTGGGCGGCGCGGAGCTGTCCTTCTCCTTGTCCGTCAGGTGGAAGATCATGTGCGCCAGGTTGTGCGTGTTGCAGGTCCCCAGGCGGCAGCCCAGGCGCACCACGTTCAAGTGGGAGAGCGCCGGCGTGGCCTGGCGGGCGTGGCGCCTCGAGCGCAGGTGGACGGGCTCCGGAATGAGGCTGGAAAAGGAGACACGCGGGGTTCAGAAAGGGAGGAAGGAGCCGAGACACGCGCCGAACCTCGGAGAGCCCCTCCCTCCCTCCCTCCCCTGGAGGAGACGATGAATGCGGTTGGACACCACTTCACAGCCAGGGCTCACAACAGTTGTCGCTTTCGCAGCAGAGAAAGGCCGACGCTGCCGCTCCCATTGAGCCAAGGCAAGCTCAGCAGGGTCCGGCTGCATTCATTACCCCCTGAGTCTCAGGCGCGCTTCTCTTCCGCCTCCTTTGCCACCTCATCACACCAGAGAATGAATCCACTTTAAATCCGGTTGCTGCCTCCTGCAGAATGCTGGGGTTTGCAGTTTTGGGAGGAGCCCTTAACAGCCTCACTAAACCACAAACCCCAGAATCGTGCAGGAGGCAGAAACTGGATTTAAAGTGGATTCATTCTCTAGTTGAAGCCTTCCCGGCACAACATCCTACGAAGCTCATGGGACGGACTCACAGAAGATGGCAGGCGGCGCTGGGGGTGTATCAATGCCCCCATCCCATTGAGATCGCACATTTGGGAGCTCCTTTTGGCAACCCACTCTTACGCCTTACGTCTACACCTTTCAAAGTTCATCTAAGCTGTGGAATTTACTTCCCTGGTGGCGCAGCCGGTAGGCTGTTAGGAATGGTGGGAGTTGGGAGTCCAAAACACCTAGAGGGCCCAAGTTTGCCCATGCCTGGGTTAAACCCTTGTGCCGGCAGATCTGCTAACGGAAAGGTCCGCGTTTCGAATCTGGGGATCGGAGTGAGCTCCCTCTGTTAACTCCAGCTTCCCATGCGGGGACATGAGAGATGCCTCCCACAGGATGGTAACACACCCGGACTTCCCCTGGGGAACGTCCTTGCAGGCGGCCAATTCTCACACTCCAAAAGCGACTTGGAGTTTCTCAAGTCTCTCCTGACACGGGAAAAACACCTGAAACTCCTCACTAAACCTCAGCCTTTGTGAGCCCTTAGCCATGAGCCGTGGCAGCTAGAGCGGAGTCAGGCTGCATCCCCACCACGGTGGAAAGCCCCCTCCTCCGCCCCCTTTCTCCTAAGTTGTCCGCTAAGCGCCCCCCCCCCTCTCTCCTTGGAGAGCCCCCTTAGTGGGGGGCAAAGGCGCCTCCTTACCGGGGTTGCTGGGCCATTCCGGGCTCGTCCTTGGCGTCTTGCGGACGGAGCAGTGGCTCAACGGCGAGGTTCAGGTCCCTCCGGACCCACTTGTTCCACCTGGGAGGAAAAGAAAGGCAAGCCGGTGAGAAGCCCGCTCGTTCTCTCAGCGCCGGGGAGGGAGTTGCCCATGAAGCGCTCCCCCCCCCCCCCCCCCCAGAACAAGACTTACTTTCTCTTGAAGTCGGACGCCAGGTCCAGCTTGGCCGCCTCCAGGCCGAAGAAAGAGACGGAGCCCAGGTAAAGGAGGGTGAGGGGCAGGGCTTGCATCCTGGCCAAGGAGAGACGGAGAAGAAACAAGGTCAGGGGCTGCTTTCCCCATGGCTGGATTTGGCTGGGCTGCTTGCCTGCTCGCTCCCAATCTCTCTCTCTCTCTCTCTCCCCCCCCCCCCTGCTCTGCCTGTCCCAATGACCTTCTCTCCTCTGCTCCAATATTTGCTCGGCAATTCCTCACCACCGGATCGATACGGGCGCTCACTTTGGCCAGGTTCTCCTTTGGCGGAGAAGGCCGAAGGCTAGGCCCCCCCCCCCCCCGCGGTGCCCCGCTCAGTGAATCGAAAGCATTCCCCCTCACGACCCAGAAACGAAAGAATTCCTCCAGACTTCCCCGCACTTTAACCTGGGCAAATGGAGCCCCCGGTGTCGCAATGGGTTAAACGCTTCTGCGGGCACAACTTCTGACCAATAGGTCGGCGGTTCGAATCTGCAGAGAGCAGGGTGAGCTCCCGTCTGTCAGCTCTAGTTCCCCATGTGGAGACATGAGGGAAGCCCTCCACAAGGATGATAAAACATCCGGGTTTCCCATGGGTAACGTCCTTACAGACGGCCAATTCTCTCACACCAGAAGCAACTAGCAGTTTGGGGTTCGAATCCGGGGAATGGGGTGAGCTCCCGTCTGTCAGCTCCAGTTCCTCGTGCAGGTGCGTGAGAGAACCCTCCCACAAAGATGGTAAAACATTCGGGCTCCCCCTGGGTAACGTCCTTGCAGACGGCCAGTTCTCTCACACCCAAACGACTTGCAGTTTGGGGTTCGAATCCAGAGAGCGGGGTGAGCTCCCGTTTGTCAGCTCCAGCTCATGCAGGGACATGAGAGAAGCCTCCTACAAGGATGATAAAAACATCCGGGCGTCCCCTAGGTAACGTCCTTGCAGACGGCCAATTCTCTCACACCAGAAACGACTTGCAGTTTCTCAAGTCATTCCTGACATGGGAAAAATTAAAAAAAACTGGGCGAGCGAGCCTCCTAACCTGCTATTCCTTCTTTGCATGGAAAACCCGACTGCATGAGCAAAAAAAAAAAAACAACCACTTTCCCCCTCCCTTCCTCCTACTTCTCCCCTCAAAGAAGTCTCCTCGCCAGAATCCCCCTCCTCTTCCATTCAAGAAAAAAAAACAAATCAATGCAGACCTGATTGAGTTGATAATCCACTGGGATGCAGGCAGGCGAGATCTCTCCTCCCAAATGTCAAAGCCAAGCGGCTTCTGCAAGGCTTCTCTTTCCCTGTGTGTTGCCTCCGAGGCTGCTCTCGCTTTCTCCTCTGAAGTTTCTACTGAGTGTCCAGCTGCGGGTGGCGCTTTTTTATAGCGCGTCCCCGAGTGGGGAGGGGAGGGGGGAAGGAGGGAGGGAGGAGGGCGGGGCCACGGAGCGGCGGAGAGGAGCAAGACAGGCCGCGGGGGGCAGGCCAACACCGGGAATCCCACCGGTGCTTCCGAGGCAGCCCTAGCTTCGGGCTTCAGCCCCAGAACAGGGCAAGGCGTTTCCCTTGGTCTCAGGGTGCCTCTGCCCTGTAGAAGGAATGCACATCTATCTTCAGATCATCTTGCTCAAGCATGGGTAAATTTGGGCCTTCCAGGTGTTTTGGACTACGACTCCCACCATTCCTCACAGCCTCAGGCCCCTTTCTTAAGCTTAAGTGGCTGAGGGGGGAAAGGAAGGGGCCTGAGGCTGTGAGGAATGGTGGGAGTTGTAGTCCAAAACTCCTGGAAGGCCCAAGTTTGCCCATGCTGTCTAACTTTTTGCATACTCCTGGATCTGGTAAAAGGTACTTTTGTTATTGACCCTGAAAGCAAAGATTAATACTGGTGCCGTGTTAATAATACTGCTGTGGTTGGAGTTATGAGAGGCTTGTGGCTTGAGGAGACTGAAGGTTGGAGTATCAAGAAGAACTGGACTACAAAACCAGTCTGCTGCAATTAAGAAGTCTCCAGTTATCTGGAAATATCAGGAAAAGAAATTTAAACTCATCTCCAATGCTGACACAGCAGCAGAAACAGAATGAAGTTCAATGAAGTTTCTTATTGCCAAAGTACCACCTGCTTGTCCCTTCCTTACCACTGCTGACTTGCCAAGGGGATGTTGTGGAGCTGGATTTTTGGAGGCACTCTTGTCAGAGTGGAGTTAGTGACGAGTGAAACATCCGGACCAGATGAATGGAACTCATTTCTAGTATGTGTGTAATATTAATACCAGCCTAATGCCAGTAAGATTGAGACAACCTTGGGGCACAAGAAACGCAAGCCAACTTTTGGACAGGCTTTTTTGGGAAAGATACATTAATTTTTGGAAGCACCCATGCGTCCGAGTACAAGATGAACTCCCAGGACTAGCTCTAATTGTTGGGTTTCATCCCTGACTGCAGAAGTCTCCAGCTCTCAATGAGTAGTTAGCCTAGATAGTCTGAAGGATTCCTCCCCTATTTCCTCTAGCTAGTTTGTTTTAAGAAGGGGTTAAGAACAACAACAACAAAACTTTCTTTATATACCTCTCTATCTCCCCGAGGGGACTCAGAGCGGTTTCCAAGTAAGATCATCAATACATACAAAGAAAACAGCATAAACATAAAATTAACAAGACAATATAAGCATAAAAAATCACAATAGCACATATATTTTAAAAATAATCCTGCCTGTTCAAGGCAATTTGAAAGGCTGAGGCTAGTGCAATTTGAAGGGGGGTTGTATAACGTATCTTTGCATGGCACTATCTCCTCCCCATTTGAATACCTAGGAATGTGGTCACTTCAGAGAAATGTAACTTCCTCTTTTAAAAGTACTGTATATTCCTGCATATAAGATGACTGGGCGTATAAAACGACCCCCAACTTTTCCAGTTAAAATATAGAGGTTGGGGTATATTCGCCGTATATGACTAGCCCTCTTCCAACGCACACCAAATAAAAATTTAAAAAGCATCAGATTTCATTTCAATATGGTAATTTTCCTACTACTGTACCTCCTTCTCTGCCTCTCAGATCTTGCACATGCGCACCTGCACCGCTTCACTGCAGTCTTCAGAAGTGAGATCTGAGAGACAGAGGAGGAGGTACAGTAATAGGATACAAGGGCAGGCCAGACAGATAAAAGAGGTGTGTTTGTCTGGGCCCAGAGCCACTCTATCTCTGTTTTCCATACCCTGGGTGCCCCGGAAGGCTGCAGCTTGCTCTGTCCTTCACGTACATCTTCCCGGTGAGGCGCCCCTTCACCTTACCATCGGGACTGCATTAAGTCCACGAATCCTGATGAATGGATTTCCTTCTACCGTACTTGTACAGTGTCGCCCTTAATGCTTTCATAGAGTCGCTGCATATGGCAGGGACGCGGCCATTGCCATTTTTGAGCTCCCCCCACCGTATGCAGCAACCACAGATTCTCCAATCTGATTGAAGTTTCAGCACCCACTCTGTAAGAGGACTCCCATGTATAAGATTGCTCCCGCGTATAAGACTACTCCCTTGTATAAGACTGCACCCGCTTATAAGATGACCCTGCATATAAGACAACCCCTGATTTTGAGAAGATATTCTTGGGTTAAAAACTAGTCTTATACACCAGAATATACGGTATTTTTATTGCCCTGGGCTGGTCATGTGGCCTGTCTCCATTTTTCTGGTCTCTTCTCCTTTTGTCTTTTCTAGAGTGAGGGAGCATCTTGCCATTGTCTAAGGCAAGTTGTAGTAGATGTAGTTACTTTTATTATTTTTCCTTTTACTTAGAAGATAGCTCAGTGAAACTAGTCAGCGCCAAGAACATTTCCTATCTAGAATGGATTTCTTTTATCTTCAATAAACATATTATTTTTGATCCTATGAGTTGTGGATCTGCAATCCTGTTCCATCCTGTTGAATGGAAACCAATCCTTGCTCACTCAATAAAAGTAAGTTTCTGCTGCTTTTGAACTGTGCATTCTCCACTCTGCTATATTTTTGGTGGAATTACCCCCAGAGAGGGTTATTTTTGAGCCTAACAGCTCCCGATTCCCAGCAATGGGTAATTGAGGCCCAGCACGTGTACGCTGAGCATTTTAAAGGATTACATTGCCGAGAGCAGTAGAGAAAGGTTCTGAAAGAGATTTTTGGAGCTTTTTTTGTTAGATTTTGATTTTTGGGATATTTATTTATTTATTTATTTATTATTTATTTGGTGCATTTATTGACCGCCGCTCTCAGCCCTAGGGCGACTCGCGGCGGTGTACAACATATAAAAGGCAAATTACAAAAGGCAATACAAAACAGCATATCCACAATATAACAATTATAAATTACAACTAAATGATCCGCTCCGTCTTATAGTAGAATCATAGCCAAGCTCATAATCCAAATTCCGTTCCAATTGTCTTGCCAAAACTACTTGTAGCATTTAATTAAATGCCTGCTCGAATAGCCATGTCTTTAAGCCTTTACGAAAAGACATAAGGGAGGGCGCCTGTCTGATGTCTGCAGGGAGAGTGTTCCACAGCCAGGGGGCCACCACCGAAAAGGCCCTCTCTCTCGTCCCCACCAGGCGTGCCTGTGAGGCAGGCGGGATCGAGATATTTTCCCTTGATTGGAAGCTGATAACCATGGAAAGAAGGCAAGAATATTATGTGAATCTCCCCAAACTGGAAGTTGAAGGAGGAAATTTCCTGAATTGAAAACAAAGGCATGAGCTGGCTCTGACCAAAAAACAGCTCAAAGTCCTATGAGAGGAACCTCCAGCTGCAGAAGCCAAAGGACTGGATGAATGACTTGAGATCGACAGAGGGGTGGGATTGATAATTTCTCTAGTGCTATCAGAGAAGGTCTTTGAATGTGCGAGAAATCCTGAAACAGCTAAAGACATGCTTTGTCATTTGGAGCAAAATTATGGAAAAGGCTCAACAGCAGAAATCACTCTAGCATACCAAAAGCAAAGATGAGATGGCTCTAAAGGCTCAAACAGCCAGAGCAAAAGGTTTCAAAAAGCAGGTCCAAAATTTGCCACTTCTGTGGAAAGGCTGGGCATCTTCAGAGGAACTGCTGGAAGGTGAAGGAAAATAAAGTGAATTTGAAAAACTCAGCATCTCCTGTTGCTAGGCAACCTGGCCAAATGGCAGAGACTCCTAGTAACTCTTCAGGCAGAGGTCATAGGAATTACAAAGGAAATGCAAGTGCTGTTGGACTTTCTAGCAAGAGTGATGTTTGTGGTCCAATGAAATTACCTCCCCCCACACAAGCCCTCTGCAACAGGAAATGCAAGCCTGGCCATGCCTGCTGCTGACACAAATGAGCTGGAAGAGGGAGTTGATTCATTTAGAGATTTGCTTTTTAAATTTTCCGGAAATAAAGTAAGCAAAGAAGATGTGCTTATTGACAGTGGTGCAAATGATCATTATTTTTTCAAATAAAGCTTACTTTACAGACCTGAATCAATGTGAATCTTTAGTATATGGGATTGGTGAACACAATTTGACAGTAATAATATTTATCTAGAAAAAGTAAAATTCAGTCAAGAATTTAAAACAAATCTAGTTTCATTGGCATTGTTGGAAAGAAAAGGCTGTAGAATTACTTTTTGTGATGGCGTTTGTACTGTGGAGAAAGATGGAAGGGTGATTCTAACAGCCAGTGACTACATGGTGACTGAATTGAAATCAATTCAGAGTCAGTTTTGCACCCAAAATATACAGAGTCAGTTTTGCACCCAAGATTTCTGGACTTATGCTATCAGAATGCCAAAATAAGAATTGTTTTCAGCCATGGCATAGGAGATTTGGTCATGCTTGTGCCAAATACACATTGGAGGCAAAATATTTGTGTAGAGATTTGGAGATTGAGCAATGTTGTAAAGAGAGATGCCCCACGTGCATCCAAAGGAAAGATGTAGTTCCCATTGATCCAAAGAGCAGTGAGATGGTGACGGAGCACCCTCTGCTACTCAAACATAGTGATGTTTGTGGTCCAATGAAAACTACATCTTTAAGAAGCGCACATTTCATGCTTATTTTTATTGCTGATTTTACAAAATTTAGTTTTGTTTATTTCTTGAAGAATAAAAATGAAGTGTATGACAATCTTTTGGACTTTCTAGCAAGAGTGAAAAATCAGTTTGATAACAATGGAAGTGAATTTTGCAGTGAGGCAATTGAAAGTGTCTTGAGAAAGCATGGCATCCATCACCAATGATCCCTGCCATATTTTGCACACCAGAATGGTGTCACAGAAAGGAAAAATAGAAACCTCAACAGACCAAATGAGAGAGCAGTGCCGACCGGTGGACAAACAGACATATTGCTTCGCAGATCTGAAAGAGAAAATAAAGGTGTTCCTCCTTTGCATTTTGCTTATCTAAGCAATTAAATAGAACCACAAGAACCATCATCCTGGAATTAAATGCAAAGATTACCAGAGGATGAAAAGGAGAAATGGATGAATGCAGCAATGTTTGAAATTGAATGATTGCAGAAGAATAAAACTTGGACACTTGTTCCTCCATCTGAGAACAAAAATATTGTTGGAAGCAAATGGGTATTCAAGTTAAAGCATGATGAG